AACTGCATCTTCTACTGAAGAGGCAAAGTAAGAACCAGATTAATAGACATCACCAGCTCAGATACTTTTTTGACAGCACTCTTTCAAAATCAAGTACCATATTTCACATGACATTTAAAAGCCAACAGAAATCACAAATGTAGACAAGCACTTAATCCAATAAAAACTAATCTACTTATAAAAAACTTCATATTCAGTACAATTATATCACCATCTTTTAATAGATTTTTCTGGTGCTATATATTTTCTCTATTATGTCTTTACACTGTTAACTTTTGTAGCTTGAAACTATAGAAAGATGCCAAAGAACTGCTATACTAAGTGGTTATTTGATTATTTTTCACTTGCATGTATTTTAATTTGTGCAATTCCTTTTGGTCAATTTTCATTTGTTAATCAGTCACTTAAATGACAAGATAAACTTTTATATATCCACTGATTTCCATCTCAATGGATTTTGCAAACCAGAATTCATAATTATCCCAATATTCCTGGATGTGTGCCTGTTTCAAATTCCATTCTTCTCCCTGCCCATTAAAAAGATTTAGCCTTATATTCCAATTTCTAAATAACTCATCAATTCATCAACCAAAGGACAGGCCCTTGTAAGGATGACCAATTAAGCTACTCTGGAATTATTTTTTTCTTTTTGCATTCATTAGAATATTCAGGAGAGGCATGTTACAGGTCCCATCTATTAAAGAGAGTCATCTGGCGGGACCCAGGAAGAAAGCCTTTTCTTCTATGGCACCCACCCTTTGGAACATCATTCCTCTAGATCTTAGATTGGCCCCGACCCTGCTGGCCTTTAGGAAGGCACTGAAGACATGGCTCTGCCACTGTTCTTGGGGGTCTGGCAATGGTGGGGACTTTTACAATGACTGTGCTGAGTTTGACATAAGGATGGATTTTGCTGCTGCTGTTTTGGTTTTAAAGTGGTTATTTGATGGTTATTTTGTATATTGGGTTTTAATTCATTTTTTTATTGTGTTTAACTGTTGTGAGCCTCCCAGAGTCACTTAGGTGAGATGGTTGGTCAAATTGAATAAATAAATAAAAATAATATTGCAGTGAGTTCTGTATTTCTAAGAAAATGGCTAGGAACACTTAACAGGTTGAAAATCAGTAAGATCAGATTATGTACAATGTTACCAATGTATTTTCAGATTCAAACAAAGATGCTAGCTTGGATCTATACAGCCCTAACATGACTTGGATCATGACCTCAGGAAGTACCAACTTGGATATGCAATCTGTGATAACTGAAGAGCTCCTTTATAAATTCCAATTCATTGGGAAGCCAGGCTAGCTAGCTATAGAAACACCACCTTTTTTCAAATGCCCTTAGAGATCTGTGGAAAGACAGACGTTGGACATTCTCCCTCTTGTTCGATAGTTCAGAATTCTTTTTATTCTCGTGCTGTTTTTTTAAGTTTATACTTTTTTATTTAAGACAATAAATGTACAATCCTAAAACTTCCATTTTTGCAAGTGTCATGTTAAGTATAGCTATTCAACTGTGATAAAAATCCAGTGAATGGATTTCACTGATGTAATTTCTAATCATTCAAGAAGTATCACTGTCTTGATACCAGACATACTAAATCATGGCAACATTTCTGTGTTGCAAATATGTTAAAATATATTGATGTATTAACTTAAAATTCAGTTGGCAAATAAGTCTCTGTTCTGATCCTAAAATGGAAGTTTAATTCATATTAAACTGTATAAAAGGCCCACATCTTAAAACCTAGTTAATTTTGTCAATTTCTGCTACAAGCCAAAGAAAAGCAAAAAGAAATATAAACAGTAATTCCATGCTAATTAAACCTACATGTTTTTTTCTTATAGCTAATGTTATCTTCCCAAATATCAAGACAAACTGGAAGCTACATAAATATATAATTCAGTTAAAAACAAATCAGAGTTTTCAATGGGCTCCTTCTCTTTCCATTAAGAATCAGAGTGCAGCATCTATTTAAACAAATTTTATTAACATAGTCAAGCAGTGATTAACATTCACGTCTATTATCACATCATACAAATGTAAATACAAAATTACTACATTACAATATATATTCTCTGCATGATCCAAAATATTTGGTGGCCCCAAAAATTCTTTAGAATTCAGCAGCTTATCAAAAATTGAAACCATATTGTGTTTAAAATGAAGCTTTGTTGGCAGAGGCAGACAAGAAAAACCAGCTTAATACAGTTTGAGAAGTTGCTGAAGGATATGTTTGAAGGGAATATTCTAACACACATAGAAAACACATCCAATTTAACGCTTCCAAGCAAAACTCATACAACCTAAGTTGTCAGCAGAAAGATCTGGCTATTTTACTATTTTTACTATTGTGAGTACATCCAATTCTAATAAACAACTTATGACAAAGTTGATTAGGAGAAAAATGATAGTATCTTTAGGGGAAAGAAGGCAAAAATGTGCCATCCAAAATGTTTTAACTGTACATACGAAAGTAGTACTGATTCTAAAATGAACTGTCACACAAGAATCAAGTTGGTAGGTGATGAAAGATAGGGAGATACCATATCATCAATGCTACAATTAATTTGCAGTTTAACTGTCTTGGTTAAAAAGTGCATTCATCCAGCAAAACAAGACTGAATAATTACTTTAATATAACCATTAAGAGTTTCCCTGTTATGATTTCACTCAGTCTTTTAGTGATGAAACTGCACTGCATGCCCATACTAAAATTTCACTCAGGACAGCCTAACACTGATTTGTTTTGACCAGCAAGTATGAAGAGTATAGCTTAAGTTGCAGACATTTTTAATTAAGTAGCATCTGAAGTTTTAGTGCAGTGTTAAATTGTATTAAAATGTCAAGATGTTCATCTAATCACTTCAAAATCAAAGTATCCTAAAGAGCCAAATGCTTACCACAGTAAATAATTCATATACAAACAGCAACATTATTTTGAGATTACTGCTTGGCATATAATAGTTTACAGCAGGAAAAAAAGGGTGATCTTCATGTTTATTGTCTAGGCATTCAGAAATGTTGTTCGTTATTCCAAAAAAACCTAGACTACTACACATGAACATACTCCAGAAGTATTTATATTAGGTAATAATCTGTTTTGTTTTACATCAGGAACATAACTTTGTACTGCAATATAAAGTCTCTTTTATGGTGATTTTTGGGTACTATTCATACAGATGCATTCTTCTCTTAAAAAGAATGTTATAACATCCTTGTTAATACATTCAATATGAATAAAATAAGCATTGCTGTCCCATAGTAACTCAATTTAGATATGAAAGTTTAAGACATTAGGCAGTTCTATATGAACAACAAACTGGTACTCTTATGACATAAGCCTCTATCTAAACAAAAGGGTACAAGATTATTTACCTGAGATAAAACTAGTATGAATATTTCTTATCCAAATAACAGAAATTTCAGCTTTGGAAATCCTCTTGCAATAGTATAAATCTAAATTACACAGTATTTATGTAGCTTAAGTACTTCAATGCCAATGCTAAAGAAAAAGTCAGAAGTATCACAGTGTCAATATTGTTTATTACAAAAGTAAAATTACTTTTAAAAAAACCTATTGGCTATGTATTTTATGAATATTACCCATGACTTCATCTTCAATGTGGCAATAAACCAAGACTACAATCCTAAGCATACTTACTTGGAAGTGAGTCCTCTGAAATGTATAGTATTTCAAATTAAATACGATTAAACATTGAAATCTAGATCAAAGACCTGATTCCTACACACCAGTTTAGAAAAAAATAAGATAAAAATCTTACAAAATGTTATCCATTCCCCTTCAATTGAAAGAAATGCAACAAAGACTTTAGATAAGACTTTTTCCCTTAATAGTCACAAACTCAACTATCAAAAAATCTTTCTATGTTAGCCAAGTTGAACTGCAAAGGAGATACTTTTACATTTTTTTAAAATATACTTTCTGTTACCAACTTAGGTTGATCAGCAGCTTTGTTCATTGTTAGAATCCTTCAAAAAGCAAAGGGGCCTTCAACATGAAAACAAAGCCATATATAAAACAGTAAACACTGACCTCCTGAGGTTCCTACAACAAAAATATTCAAGTAGAAAATCTACATCACTTAGCAGCGGCTATTTCTGTAGTTTAGCACACTAAGCACTTAATTCACTGTGTAAGGAGCAGGTTTTTAGTAAGCCGTGCTTGTAGCATGCCAAGAGGCAGAGAACACTGGAATGTAACAAAGACAAACACACGATTCTACAGAACAACATTCAATCAACATTCAAAACTGTCAAGAATACACAAAAAGAATTAAGATGTTTCATATATCCCATGATGCAATATATTTGATTTACAACTTAGTGTTGTATTAGAATTCTCCTTACCTCAAATTCTATACCAAGCAGCTTCTGCAAGTATATTAAATTTTTATTCATTATGAATACTATATTCATAATGAATATTATGAATATGGTTTGCTATGAAGCATTAATTTGTTAATTCTAATTTTAACTGCAGTATTGCTTTGTTAATTTTCTGTGTAATCAGCTAAATTACAGTAAAACAGTCACATCCCTTTATATTAACCCATGTAATAAAATTATCTCTCTATATAAGTGGCTTATATGCGCTAATCTTTAATGTTATCTGCAACTCTCAAGTTCAACTACAGAAGGGCCAAAATAAATAAAGGTTTCGTTTTAGAGAATTCCATATAGAAATGTAAACCCTTGCCAAAAGGCAAGTTCTAGCCTTAGTAAATGTTAAGATTTACTTTCTTGGGAATTCATATCTACTTCCTTGATTGAAAAAGCTATAACTGAATGGTCAATTGAAAGTTCTGGCTTCCAACAGAGCAAGTTAGTTGAAAGTAGATCACTATATATGATTTTATTCCAGTGGTTTTAATGGCATAGTAGCATAAACTTAATTGTTCATAGATTTTTATACAGAACATATTCTAACAAGTCATTTTCAAACATATTTGACCCCACTGAAATTTGCAAAGGGAAAAAAAAAAGGAATGTATAGGACTTGTGCATGCTCCCATGCATTAAACAAAAACCTGAAATAAGATTTCATAAATTCACACTCACACAAGATTGAACTTCAGTGCAATGGCTAAATCATACAATAATCAAAATCATGCAAAGTCAATCTCTACAAAAATGCTTATCCAGTATGTTTTTTCAATGTAAAGATGAGAAGCTAAAATGTAAGGCGGTTGTTATGGCTTTTCTTTTCTTTTTTGCACAGATTAATTTTGCAGCACTTAAGGGAAAATGGAAAAGTGTGGCTTCATCTCTGACCAGCAGAGTTATTTTCTTTCCATTTTCCTTTATCATCATGGGATACTCTTTATGCAACCTAAATTTATCACACTTTCACTTTTATAGTAACACAAAATCAAGTGTACCAGTTAGATTTTCACATTCACAGTACATAAGAAAATACACATGGAAAGAAAAGTGAAAGGTAAACTTAACAAGGATTTATTCACAGAAATACAAGCAAATAGAAAAGGGAAGCAGAAAAGCTAAACAAATGAAATGAAAAGGATCCAAACGAACATTCACTCTGTAGCTTTTAACTTGCACCCCTGTGTGCTCTCTCTAGGACACAATGGGCCACCAACATGCGCCGATACAGTGTAGATACCCTGCTTTACATATACTAACTTATGCATCTCTTTAAGATCATGCTTTGGGGGGGAGGGGAATAATAAAATATAATATGTTGGGTGTGAATAAACACAGAAATGTAGCAATCATGTCATCAATTTTCTACAATTGTCTTTAGGCATCAACTAACATTTATGTAACCTTTAACAGGTCTTACCTTATAACTCATTTTAGAAGATTTGATAAAAATCACTAATAGTATAACCATGCAGAAAGCACATCACACTGACAGCACAGAGGCAATACTTTGCACAGCTATATCTGCTTTCCACATTGTGCAGGTTACACAATACAATATCAATCGTATTCCTAAGAGATCCTAAAAGTTATTTTGAGGCCTAATTGTAACTACAGTATTTTATACTTATATCTTAATAAAAATAAAATCCACAGAATTTTAAAGGAATTTTAAATGCAGGGTTATACTGCACGAATTGGTAAACTGCAACACAAAACTGGCGCAAAGTAAGTAATGTATACCACTCTCACTCCTTGATGCAAGCATGCTACTTTCCCACTAAAAATATGCTTGATCACTATGATCCAAAATGCATGCCTGAACCTTAAACTGCACATTTAAGAATTATGCCTTACTCTAGAAATTAAATCTAATGAAGTACAACCATCAAATCATATCTACTACCTTTTAAATGTAAAATTAAAAAGATTAATCTTTCTTCTGAAATGCCCGTCCCCCCCCACCCAAAAATGAAAAGGAGTGACTTATTTGGCATCTTGCAGGTTGCTTCATTTGTTTGCTTTAACCTTTATTACTTCATTATGGGGTTATTTAAATTTGTACACTGCAAGTGCTTACTCCTAATACAGGTAGCAAGCTTCACCTTAACTGTACTAACTTCATTTGTTTAGTTCTTCATCAACATGCAATACCTAGGAATCCCATCAAGATGAAACAATGCAGAAACCCCTTGTTATACCTTTAACTGTCTGTAATTGCCATTCTTCTGTTTCCTTTATCGCATGAACACAATGTATTTTCTCTTTACATATTCCCTATGGATCTATTTTATAATTTCATTTTGGTACAATTCCCCATAATATTGCAGAATGTGCTGTTGTGAACAGACTTTTTTGCGCATCTTCACATCCAGTGCAGAATTGTAACAGGAGACAGATTTCCACCCACAAAAGCTCCAGATGTTAAAACATTTCCCAACATCGGCTTAATACAGTGACGGCAACACCTCCCTCCCGCCCCTCCCAGTAGGCTTGGGATTGTACTGTATTCCCTACTGGTTTACCCTTCCCCCCAGTAAAGGGTAACATTTTTCCCTGGGTGCAGAGGCTTCCTCCCAGTCTTCCAGGCTGAAGGACCTGCAAGAAGCAAATAATTAGTTTTTATTCAGAAAGCAAATGTTTAATATTATTATTAATACACAGTTCTTAAACAGATAGGAATACAAATTAATGTTGCTCTGTAGTATGCACTTCTAAAGCAAAGCACCATTATAGTATTTTCAGAGTGAAGTTAGCTGCTATTCCTTGAACTTTTTTTGTATTAAATACATCATCAACAGGTCTCATAATATTTCTAGTCCCATTTTAAAAAATAGCTGAAATAATAAGCTCAATTAAACCAGACAAATCACTAATGCCTAGAGACAAGACTGTGTAGGTAAAGGCCATCTTCTTTGCTATAGTTTAAATTTCTCTTGATTTTAGGAGTTCCAACTATGATACTTCATTAAAAGCTTATATATCATGTACAGAAATTACAAATCATAATATAAGCCTATGTACAGAAATTACAATTCAGGTATCACACTTTTACCTCCCAAACTCAGTTCTAGAGAAGAACTGATAAAGTGCAGACAGGGATAGTTTTCATTATGCATGTTTTTTTTTTTAAATGAGTTTACAAAAATTTGCTCTCTTCGTAAGTGGGATGAAAATAACTTGAGATTTTTTAAAAAACTAAATGGGGGGGGAGACCCCAAAATGATGGATTTGTTATTTATTTATTTACTGTTCAGTGATGTTTATTCAGACACCATTGCATTGATGGATGAAAAGGAACCGCATACTACAACATTATGGAATCAGGAAAGAATTGCAGTCATCTTTAAGAAGAATGGAGCATTCTCCTCGGTAGGTATGGTGAACCAGTAATGACCCTGGAGAAACTATGTGATGGTAGTTAGAAAAACATGATTTAAGGAAGAAAATGTAAGACAGAAACTCAAATTAGTCTGTCTTAACTCTACTGAATACAAGAGGCAGGGAAAACGCTGTCAGACTTTCAAGGCTTTGTTACTATAGCCTATATCAATAAAAAAGAGTTTCAGTTATTTACAGTGGGGCAAAAAAGTATTTAGTCAGCCACCAATTGTGCAAGTTCTCCCA